CTTAATGATGAAAAATTTTTCAAATTGTGATACATATCTTATGCCTGCACTGTAAACAACATTAAAAGAGAGAAAATGTAATTAAGACGTGTAGGAATGAATGTAAGACGAGAAAGAAAATAAAAGCGAAGAAAAAAATATGAGAAATTGCTTTTGTCTAAAAGCATGAAAAAGAAAATTTTTGTCTCCTTACAAATAAAAATAACAAATAAAACAGAGAGAAAGAAAAGCAAATTAATTGAAACAAGCGTCTTTCAATGCCCTTTTCAAGCATTCTTTCATCTAATCGAGCAGCTAATGTTTGAGTGAGTGAGTGGGATGATAAAAGGAATGAAAAACTATTTCTTTGAGAGATAAAGTCACCAAAAAAACATCAAAGGAACTCTAGATTGGTCATGATCAACTAAAAAAGAATTCTTTTCAACTGCACAATGTCTGAGAATTTTTCAGAAACGATCATCAACTTAAAAATGCGTTAAATAATTTTTGTTTCAAATTTAATCTTTGGCATTGCAGCTAATGACTTATGAGTTCATGAAGAATTGGATATATCTTTCGTCTTAAAGATTAAAAATATAATTGATGGATGAAATTTTGACACTGCACAAAATTAAGAAATTTTTCATTTTCCAGTGTATTTTTAGGAAGGTACATTTTTCCATCATACTGATGTCTCGCTTAATTAGTCAGTTGACATATTCCATAGCACACATTTATTTCTTTTTTTTGAACATTAATTTTTTATTCATTTGTTTAATTTTTCTTGTCATTCGTAGGAGGAATTAAATTTCATCAATCACGACTTACGAGTCCGTATGTAATTTTTATAATGACACTTCCGGAGCACTTTTTATTTATAAATACTTAACATTTAAGTTTTAAAATTTTCCTACACCATGATTTTAATAGACAAGAGCAGTTTTTATTGAATTTAATTGAATTTTTAAACCTTAAAGAAGCTCCTTTTGGAAAAACGTTGGATGATTCATGATAAGAATTTTCTAATTCATCTTAATTGTATTACTGTATTATGTAGGCCTAATATTTGTATTAAAATTGGTCGCTCAAAGCAACTTAAGTTTATGCTTTTTAACCAATAATAATCACAAAGCGTCTCTCTGACTCGTGTCTTCTTTGATTTTATTTACACGTCACAAAATAAATCATTCATAACAACATCATTGCACATACAGAAATCATAAAAATATGAAAATATCAACAAGGAAGGAGAGAAATTATTTTTTAATTGCTCGTAAAAAAATTTTGTGGCTTTTCGCATCTCAAATACACATGTTTATAATTAGAGGTTATCACTAGGTTGACACAGTCTCTTGGCACAATTTGGGACTTTATATTACACTTTTTCTTTTTCATATTTTTTTGATCTATAAAAATTTATGAATATGTGCCATGATGAAAATTATTGTGGATGCAAAAAATAAACCATAGAATTAATCAACTAAATTGAATATTTGTATACTCGAATAGCCGAGTGAATTACTGGGTTAGTTTGTAAACCAGTAAAATTCATTAGTTACACCCTGTTGCATAAATAATTCTTTTCATACTTTGAATTTCAAATTTTTCTCTTCTTCTTTGCTCGTCTGTCCAACCATTCATCCGCATATATCCATTTTCATTGTATGTACATTTAAAATCTCCAATATACATTTTTTAATATTAATGAAAAAGAAAACGCTTTAAAATGAAAAATATGCGTACTATCAACAAGGAAATCAAATCAATTTAATGTCGCTAAACTTAAATGTTCCAATTATTCAATAAATAATTTTATCACCCAAAAAGTCAGAATTAAATCAGCTACATTTAAAATTTAAAATTGAAATTTTTTTCCTGCTACTTTTTTTACAATTCTATATTTAATGGAACATTTGTTTTCTACTTACGTATGTGCATAATATTCATCAGCTTCTTATTCTTGCTGCACATTTGAACGAGTTTATTTGTGACTTTTGAGGTATTACCGAGGTAAACCAACTTCGAAAAAAAAACCTTTAAAAGTCGAAAAACTTCAAGTTTGAAAATGAATTGCGAATGTTTTTGAGTCTTTGGATGAAGAAAATGCTTATCTTATCCCAAATGCTACAAATCTTCTAATATTACATTTATTTCGATGTAAGGATACCTTGGGTATTACAAAAAATAATTGTTGTTAAATTAATGTATTATGGAATTTGACAAAATAACCGCATGTTTACCAAATTTAAACATGTCAAGGATCTTATCAAAAATCAAATCTATTTTCAAACATTCATGAAGTTCTGAATATTTTGAAAAAGAAGTCATTTCGTCTAGGTTTTACTACAATGTCATAAAAATATTCATAAATTTATTCATAAAGTTTAAGCTAACATAACTTTCAGGTACGTTTATTAACATAAAAACAAATGGAATATACGTTTATATACTCAATTTAGGAGGTTACAAATATTTATTTATTTTTCATAATATCTAGGTAATTACAATCATGCACGCATCAACATTTACATACTGCAAAGTTTAATTATATTTGCTTTATATAAGTCAAAAATATATGCTGCATCACACGAAGAGATTTAATTGATTCTACATGAACCACATTTAAAATCAATACGTCCTTAGCAAAAGGCACTTTGAAAAATCACTAAGCATTTTCAATTTTATTAAAATAATAAAAAATGTGACTGAATGATTCAATTTATTTTATTCAAGCTTACATGTGATGCTAAAATCTCGTTTTTGCCTTTCATGGACATCTGACTTAATGTGTTATGAACACAAATTCTTGCAACAGTGTTGCACTGCAATCAAGAAATTCAAACGATGCAAAAATTGAAGAACTAACATGTGGCATTTTACTTGTGAGAATTTTAATACATCATGAAATTTTTCTGTTGAGTCATTTGGTGACGTTAAAAGTTGGAACTAAATCACAGAAGTAATACTTGAGAAATGAGATAAAATTTTTGATAAGGCACTGTGTCCGATGTGATAAGATACTCATTTGTTCCTTTTGTTTTCCAAACGAACTTAAAAATAATCAGTTTTGTCTTAATAGCACTTGAAAATTCGTAAGAGGAAGTGTAAAAGAATTTATGGAGTTCCAAAAAGCTATAATAATTTTTTTAGCTTTGTTATCGAACTCAGTATTATCAAGTAGTGTTGGAAATAGTCAATCATATGTAGAAAGAAGGAGAAAAATTGCTGGTAATGTAAAAATTCATCAAAATAAAAAGCTTTTCTGATGTTATGAAAACTGCATTAGGTGGAGCTCAGCCAGGAAGAAATGAATTTCTCTACAAAACTGCAATCTATCTCTATAAAACAACGACTGGAGTAAATTTCTGTTCTGGATCTATTATCACTGAAAATTTTGTATTAACTGCTGCTCATTGTTTTCCAAATGTGCACTCAGGAACAATTATTGCTGGAGTTCATGATTTACAAAATGAAGATCCTGTCTATGAATGGGATTTTGAGACAAGTCACATTATAATTCATGAAAATTACATTGAACAGGATTTCCTCAACGATATTGCATTAATCGATGTCTCTTCCAATCCATTTGTCTTGTCTCCAAAAATTCAAAAAATCAAAATCGCACCATCAACATTGAATTTAACTGAATTTATTGGAAAAAATGTCAGCGTTGCTGGATGGTAAGTTCCTTTAAAATTAGTATTTAAGGAAGCATTCATAAACTCTCTCAACCAATTTAGGGGTATGACAAGTGATAACAATCAGGAAATGTCAGATAAACTCATGTACTTTAACCCAATAGTCCTTAGGACAGGTAAAAACTTTTACTTCCTTTATAATTGATTGTGTGAACATTTCTTTCAAATTGTTTTAGAGGTTTGCCGTCAGGTATTTGGATACATAAAAGTTACATCCAACAGTATTTGTTTAGATGGAAGTGACGGACGTTCGACATGCAGAGGTAACAATCTATAAATATTAATGCTCATTCCAAGCTTATTCTTCTTGTTTCATGATACGCATCATGAATTAGAATTAATCCTTTTTTTTGCAAATAACTCATTAATATTCAAATTTAATTCGCAGGCGACAGTGGTGGTGGTCTGGATGTCATGTATGAAAAAGAAAAGATTTTAATTGGAATTGTAAGTTTCGGCTTGGAAGCTGGATGCCAGCAAAACTACCCAACTGTTTCCACTTTTATATCTCCATTTTACAATTGGATTAATACGAAAGTAGGAATGATTTTATAATTATCCAGAAATTCCTTTTGACGATTACCTTAAGCCTCACACATAAAAACAACATTTTTGTGACAGACTTAAATGTTTTTTTGAAGCGATATCTTCGCTTATATTTCTTCATTTGTTGCAGCTGTTTTAATACATACAGCATCAATTTTACATACCGCGCATGTATTTCATTCTATCTTGTTGATTTCACTCACTTATTCGTGCATGTATTAAATTACGTACTTAAATCTTCTAATACAATTTGGCGAGAAATATAATTCGATAATCTTTTTGTTTCTTTTCTTAAATATTTTTAAAATGTTATACAAAGTAACATGAATAAAGATTGTGTCACACAACGAAGGAAGAAATAGATGAGCAAGCATGAAAAAATATATATTTTTCTTATAAAATAAAACAATAGAGCAGAATTTCTCTTTCTTCATGCAACTAATTTTAGACGTTTCTTGCCTCATAAATTGTTGATTTACTTTATGACTTTTTCATGTCTCTTAAGCTGTAAATTCTCATTTTTTGCTTAACTTTAATTCATGTGATGGGCGTGATTAATAACATTAGATCAGAATTTTATTCTCTATTTTAAAACGACTAAAAGATTTTATTTTGTTGGATAGACTAAATGGGATTATATTTTACAAATCATTAAATTCAATTCATGAGTTATTATTATGATCGATCGCCATGATTTACAATTCCGATACTCAAAAACAAAAAGATTTTTTTTTTTAATTTGATGACTTTATTTGGAAAGAATAAATGATTTACAGTTTAACTTATAACTATACCAGTAACTAGTGTAATCCAATCATAATATGCTGTGATCCGTCTATAAAAAGAAAAAGTATGTTAAATTCTTGAAATATTTTTTAAAACTTGACTTTAATGGATCATAATACTCACGATTTTACACTGGGAAATCCTAATTGGCAACCGTATTCACTTCCAAAACTAACGATTCCGATCAAGTTTCGATTATTTCCATTAATAATAGTTACCCCACCACCAGAATCACCAGAACAAGTTGATCTTCCACCTGCCCCACTTAAACAGAAATTGCTGCTTAAAATCAATGTTCCGAATGTTCTTGCACAGTCCACTGTGGAAATATGTTAATTGATTATCGGACTACAATTTTGAATTTTTGATTACCATTAGTTATTATTGGTGAATCAATAAATCTTGGAACTGGTGACATATCTCCTCCATCTCTTGTAAGTCCCCTTAAAAATTCAAATTTACCAAATGATCAATTTACAGATTTATTTAAGTTTTTTACCATCCAGCAACTCTGGCAATAGTTCCAGTAAGATTAGTATTAATGAATGACCTTGGAGCCATTACAACTGCTTGAATTGACGATGTGAATCTGAAAGGTGATCTTCTTGTAGAAACAATTGCAATGTCATTTGCATGAAGAGCTGCATTATAATTAGGATGCCTAGTTACGTCTGTTGGTAAAATTGAGAATTCATATTGTGGATATTCTAAGGTGATATCATGAACACCAGCAAGAAGGTCGGATGATTTAATTGACGTAAAACAATGAGCTGCAGATAACACAAAATTCGTTGATATAATTGATCCTGAACACGCTGACTCACTATCATCTGCATGATAATTGAAAAAAAGAGCCGCAAATGGGAACTGATCTCGTGTGGCTTCTGTTCCACCTGCAAAATATTTATTTGTTCGTCCTTTATGCGCAATATATGCAATAAACATATTTCTAAATTCCTGTAATTACCTGCAATTCTACCACCATTGCGAGTAGATAAAATTTTTTGCTTTGATAAATACTGCTTCCATCTACTTATTTCGCCATGAGATATATCGAAAAATAAGGTAATTCCTATGATTACGAGTACATTTAATAATTTCGCCATAGCACTTCTTGATGAATGAAATTCTCTGAATGAACTGACTACTCTCTACACTCGTAATATTGTTTATATTCTTAACAATGGACTATTCCAAGATTGCCTATATCAAATGACGACTTAAGATAAGATAAAGAATTTTTTAATGTTTGCGCGTGGAAGTCAACAGACTGTTTAGAGTCTTTTCTCTTAAATGACACTTTTCATCTGATATTCAAACAGTCATGACAATGAATGCAGTGGAAACACACCAGCTGACTGGATTTTATTTACCAACTCAATTGATCGTGCAAATTTGCATACCGAGCTTTTTCTGGAAATTTACATAATTCTATCCTAATATAAATACGGACTTGTAGAAGTTGATGGTTTTCTTGGAATTATTTCTGAAACTAAGAGTTTTACAGTAATCAGTCTAGACTCTAGAACATGAAGGGTTTTCGAATGGGAGGGATGCAATAGAAATATAAAATTTATTTTATATTTTAAGACTTTCTTTCCATTTAGAGCTTTAATTTTATCGCTGAGTAAACACATTAAAATGCTCTTGAATCCTTCAAAAATACGCTCGAAAGTGTTTGTTTCATTTTAATCATCTAATCATACTCATTAATTAGGCTTAATCTTTATTTCTATTTCAATAGTTATATTGTATAATATTATTGTCATGGAATCTAAGATAATTATCACTTCCGAACTATTTTTAAAATTTTCACATTGACAAATTATTCAGGTTGGATCAACTTTTATAGTTTGCTTCAAAATTTGTACATAACTCAATCTTGGTAAGGATATAAAAATTAAATTTCACTTTTGTAAATTTCATGTCAACCAAGACATTTAAAGTTTGATTTAAAGCTTAAAGTCTTAAAACGGAATTATTCGAGATCCAGTCAAGATATGCAGAGACTCTTGTCATCACAACAGGATACCCACCTGTAAAATAAATAATTAAAGTATTTCATGAAAAATGAGAAAAAATAAAAATCATTCAATAAATCTGCATTAAAACGGAAAGCTGTGTTTCTATCAGAATTTAAATCGAAATTCAACCCACCCTCACAAGTTGCACTTCCGTAGCTTACAATTCCAATTAATGTATTTCTTCCACTTAGAGTTATTGACATCGAACCACCTGAATCACCTGATACAACAAAATACAGAATGTTATTAATATGAACGATGAGAAAATATTATTTTTGAAAAATTACCATTACACGTTGATCTTCCATTGCTGCCTGAAGCACAAATATTTGTACCACTGTTGAAAAATGGAAAGAGTTGGTTGTAAACGGATGTACAACTTTGATCATTCACAATGGGTAATCTAACATATTGTAAGGCGTCTGATAACACATGTCTCGCTACAAAAAAGAATGAAGGTAAGGAAGAAGAGTAAAGAAAAAATGTCATTTGTTATCAAACAATTTCAAAGTAATGGCGATTTAATTGCTTTGTAGAAGTAATGAAACTTACAGTCAGAGAAGCGTCCCCAACCTAATGAAAAGTTCAAAAATAACGCTGATTTAGTTTATGTCTATTAAATTAAATTTTAACTGTATTTTGTACCTATCACAAATGGAATTTGTCCAATAAAAGAACTGGATACTAAATGCCTAGCTGGAAGTGCAATTGGTTGAAGTCCACTTGAGAATCTTATTGGTTGCATGGCATAAATTAAGCCGATGTCATTTCTGAGAGTTTCTTTGTCATACTGCGGATGCTGTCTAACATCTCTTTGCATTACTGTTGCACGATATTGTGGAGTTCCTTGAAAAATATTTAATGTTCCTGCTTGCACATCTATTCTTATCAGATCATCTAAACAATGAGCAGCTGTTATGATATAATTTGCATGAATGATGGATCCACCACAGAAACTTTCACCGGTTGTAAGAAACAAAAACAAAGCTGCTGCATGTGGAAATTGATTTCCAGATGCTGTATTTCCTCCAACAATTCTAATATCCCGTGATATATTTCCCTGAATATTATCCACTACGCTACTGATATTAATTGTTCCAGATATAGCAGAACTTGAAAAAAATGTCAATATCAAGAAAATCAGTGTGACGTTTCGTGTATTTTCCATCCTTTGAATTGAACCGAAAATTTTAGTCGAAAATATTATTTTTTTTATTTTTTTAACAAAGCGACTATAACGACCGAAAACATCAACTGCGCCTGCAAATGAAAAATGAACCTTCTTATATACGCTTGATATCATATCAGCAAATTCGATGGTGTATCTCTTCATATTTTTGGAATGTTAACATGGAAGAAGTTCCATGAAAATAAATCAAAAGAAGTCAGCTTTCATTGATAGTATATGCTATATTTGAATGTAAGCATCACATGCATTTCTATAGTTTTGGTTAATCCTCGATTCCTTGTTCAGAATAGTTTAATTCAACAGCTTGTCCTGATACATAACTCAGATAATAAAGTTTTATGTGCTTTACATTTCTATTAGAAACAAGTTCAATCTGGAATTCATGAGTGTGACGAATTACCGAAAATCTACTTCCGTTTCCTCGCGTGAAGAGATAAGAACACTTTTGATTGACTTCAAACATGATTGAGTGCAATAAAGTGTCAATTAGACAATGTTTACATTTATTATCAATTAAACGTACGCAGAGGAAGTATGGCTATTTGATAGTAAAAACAACTTGAAGTGTGTTTGTTTATATTGTGATGTGGGTTATATCAGTCAACTATTTCTTGGAACTGATTTTCGTTTATTATAGAAAAAATTAGTTTTTTGGTAGAACTGGGATTTTGATACGGACTTCATTGGCAAAAAGTTAATTGCTGTCCTCAGAATGCTTCAGCAGGTTACTAGGAACACATTGATTAACGATATTAGGATCATGGTTAGAGCTAAGGTCAAATAAAACTAATAAATATAAATTTTTATTATTTTTGCAGACTTTATTTTGAAGTTGCTTTTTTTCTCATATTATCATATAGTCTTTTACAATTAAATTGAATTTTTTTGTTTCATCTTACTTCCTCTCATTTTTGTGGTTTCACAATTTTTTTGCATTTTCATCTTTCTTATCTTCAAATTTTACATCTAATTCGAAAAAACTTTTTACTGTTAATAATCTTTCTTTATAATTTTATCAGCTCTTTTTTTTCTTGTTGCTGAATGTTTCAAAAAGAAATTTTATTTACTATTTTATACACATTTGTTATGCTTTTTTGGTTATTTTTAAGGTTGCATTTTATCCTTAGAATCAATCTACATGTTATAAGAAATTGAGACAAAATAGATATATCATTACACATGTATAATAATAAAAGATGATTCTAAGAAATACGTGATGTATAAATAATATTTATATATTTGCAATTTCTATAATCTTTCATCATAAATTGAATTCGTAAAAATTTTCTCATAATAATGTATAATAATCATTATTATTATTATTTTTATTTAGTAAATTGAAAATATTGTATAGTAAATTTTTACCACCATTGAATTGAAGATTCTTTTAATTAATTGAGCCATTCTGTTCACATTTGAAGTATTGCATATGGTTTTTTTTAATCAATATCATGATTTTTATTTATTTGATGATAGAAATGGCCACAATTGAGAAGGAAAAAAGAACTAGAAACTTATAATTACATTAGCGGCAAAAGAATAAAATTTTAAGCAATACTTTTACATTAAATCCTTATACTAAAAATGTTTTTTCGTTCCTTTATATCATCTTATTGGATATCATTTGATATTCTAAATTTTCATACATTTCTTGTTGTGTAACTTCTTAAAATTTAAATTAAAAATCACATGAAATCAAAGATTTTTTTTATATGCTTTGAAGTACTCCTCAGACATTGAATCTTCACTACTAAGTTTTGATATGAATTGTCAAATTATCATTATGAATTTAATACTTTTTAGATCTTAATATATCCAACACATGAGAAAAGTTATGAAGATGTTTGTGTAGGACAAATCACTAGAATGTTTAACGTGAAGATACAATATGATTTTGGACTGGCTGATTCCTATAGCTTAAAGTAAGGATATATCAAACAACCAGTCCAATGGATTCTTCATTTTTATATGAAACTAAATTCAACTGTAGATTTTTGTGAATTTGAAAATAAAATTCTATCTAACCACAATTCGTAAAATAATCTAGAAGAGCAGTGAAATGGTATCAATGTAAAAAAAATTATCTCTGACACGAAAAATATCAGTAGGGCAGTATAGTGTTTTCAGCAAATACAGTTGTAACAAAAAAAAATGGAATGAAATTAATTCTTGGATCATTTTTGATTAGTTTAATCTTAAAGATTAAACAAAATCGATAGCTTGATTATTTATCCAAAAATTAAAATTCAATTGAGTTTAAAATGTGGACATAGAGAAGTATAATATTGAAATTGATTGATTGACTAGTGAAAAACAACTAAAAACACCTGAACATCATTAAAATGGAAATGGCAAAAAATTAATCAATTTTCCTTTGTTTGTTTTCGAATGGAAATAATTAAAAAATATTTTCTTTTGAATCAGCCTTGTACTTATAATTGATGTAATTTAACTTAAGTCTAGTAATTTAAAAACTTTTATTAATTTTCTTGTATATTTTTCTTATTTTTTTTTTCGATTAAAAAAATGAACTTATAAAAAACCATTGGCATTATTTGGGATAAAGTGGTTGTTTAATGTATATAAAAAAAATGGAAAAGTAGGTAAATTACTTCAATAATGAATTGGAATATTGATCGCATGTGTTTGTTTTTTTTTTTTTATTAAAATTTCCCTTGAATTAAATTCTTACTCAGTATCATTAATATTATACATTAAATTGTAGCACTGAAAATTTATGCTATTCTTTCTTATTGAACACCGAAGAAAGAAAAGTAATTAATTATTGAGAAAAAAATGTAAATTTCCTAGCACATTTAATTATTTTTCAGCATCTTTATAAAAATAGGTATTATTTCCGTTCATCTCAATGTCATTTATATAAAATACATTTTTTTATCATCATCATCTTCATAGTAGTTTTTTTCTCATCGAAATATATCCTGTCTAAAAGTTTTTTCAACCCTAACTGCACAAAATTTTCATTCCTTTCTCATTCTACTTCATTCAAAAAAAAAATTGTTTTTCTTATATAGGAAGATTAAACACTAAGAGAGAAATTGTTAAAAATTACTTTTGAGTATTTATTCATTTTCACTTGGTGCTGTACTTGGACCAAAACCACTAAAATTACAACAGGGAAAACTTAAGTCAGTATTGGCAGTGTCATCAGAGAGATGGATTTACCTATAATAGTATGGAGGGGGACGTTCGTATTCTGATGATGGTGGTGCTACTGGATTTTGGTAACGCGGTGGTGCATTATCCCAATTTTTTGGTGCCATATCATTATATCTAGCATCGCGAGGGTTACTTGAAGAAGGTGCTGGACTAGCTTCCTCATAATAATCACCACGTCTATCTCTTCCTTGACGTCTGTCATTTTTACGGCGACGTTTATTCTTTGGAACACTGAAAGTATTTATAACTTATTAATGATTCATTCAGGAACTAAGACAACATTCATCCCAAAACTAAAAAAATATACAAACTTTAATTACAATTAACATGTTCAATATAAAAAGCTTAATGCACAAAAATAAAGGATTTATCATCTAATTGACACTTACTTTGCCAATGGTATGTTATCTCGCTCACTGTATGCATCATACAAATACTCTCTGAATATATATTATGTGCAATATTTTCAAGAGCATAGAAAAATGAACAATTTCAATCACAAGATGCCACACGTAAAACGGTTTGCATTTTTTATGGTCGTTTCATTCCAATAAATCAAATCAATCAGGCATTCACAGAAAATAAAAAAGAAAATAAAGAAATGAAAAGATACGTTTTTGGCAATAATAAGCATAATTGATAATGATTGAGATTACACGTATCATTGGATATTTGGCACAAGAAATAAGGAATTGTTAAATAATTGAATTAAATAAATAACATATGACTTACGCTTCGACTAAGGGTCCTGGATAAGGATCTACTTTTTGATAAAGTGTCGATAATTTTGCACTAAGTACAATGGTTGGGAAGAACAAAAGGACACAAAAGATGACACCTGCCCAGAAACCATTCTAAAAAGAAATATCAATTTAGTAAAATTTTATTTATGTTCATGTTAGGATGCTACTTACATATGGATCTACGACACGATTGCAAACCGTAACAATCGTCGAATTATAAACATTACTAATTGGTTCGCAACGTCCAACATCATTGGTTGTTGTATTAATGACAAGATTTAAATATGCTTTAACATTACGACTAAAGTTGTCGAGCAGTTCATGAGAAATTTGCTGAACGTACGATGTTCCTTGTTCATTAAGGAAACGTTCAGCTTCATCGATTTCTTGGATCAATTTGATGATGGCTTTTTCGAAAGTCGTCTGCTTAAAATGAAGCTTCTCATCTAATGATTTTGCAAGTGAAAGCAATCGATTTGTTCCATTAAGCAATGGATCTACTAAATTCTTTTGGTATGTACGCAAGTGTAACTCTTGAACATCAATTTTTGTTTTAATTTCACTGCTGGTTGACAAACGTGTAGATGCGACTTTCAAACGATCTGCGAGACTAATGAGATCAAAGTGTGTTATGTTTTGTGTAAGATTATCAACATATTTGTATGCTTGGAAATTATTTAGTTGTGATCTTGATAGTTGTCGAATTTCACGTCTCGCTTCGTCAGACAAGATTTTCACTTGAGAACTAATTCCAACATTATCAGCCAATTCATTCAACTTGACATCAATTCCATACTTCTTTGGAAACTCTTCAATTTGACTTATGTTGATATGATTCTCAACTCCAAAGACTTTAAAGATTGATTTATTTCGATGACATTCACCAATTATATGAGATATTCTTAATGGCTTTAAATCAGCGTCTGTTACATTTGTTTGTAACGGAACTTTACGACCTTTTGGAAAGACAAATTTATTGACATCTACAAATTTATCAAGGTATGATGTAACAATTTGATCATTTTCTGGATCTCTGAGTGGATCGCAAACACCACGTCGCATCAAAAGTCCAGAAAGGAATAATGTCAGACAGATTATGAGCAAGGCAGATATTGTAAGGAAGATTATAGCGACAGAGCTAAAAGTAGACAATGAAAAGTTATTTAATAATCAAAAACTAGAGGCTGTTAATTATTTTTTAAAACATACCACATCAAAAATCTGGATCCAGCCCCCTTCGTACAACAATCATCTCCATAGCCGTCTGGACGCTTTCCACAAATTCCACACAGTAATCCAAATGTTGCAAATACGAGAATAATGAGCAAAACGGAACTGACAATAAGTCCTCCGTAATAACGATAAATACTATATTGAGCAATATAGTCATCGGCAGTGATGAAATATTTATATGTGTTATTTCCAACTAAATCCGAAACTCCATCAATTTCACGTGTTACTCGATTAGAGATTTCCTGCATTGCCTGCCCAACTTTATTGATAGACATTTTAACTTCTGGCACATTTGATTTTATGATATTTTCGATTTCATTCCTGATATCCTTAATCTTCTTTTCACTTGTATCAACAGTTTGTTGAAGAGGTCCATCCAATAGTGACTGCACATTATTGATTATTTCTGTTTGATCGGGAAGCTAAAGGAGCAAACATAAAAAGTTTTATTATTATGACTAAGTTACTTTCAATGTAAAAAATGAGAGAACATAAAGCATGAGATAAAAGGTTATATTAAGCATTTGCGAGCGATGAAGTGACATGAAAATGTTTAAGTTGATGGATTATCCTAAGTTTACTACTTTCACATTAATGTTAGTCAATATGTACACATATTCACATTGTTTCATTATATCATCAATCAATTCTATTTTGAAGATGTAAGGGCACAATGAATTTTTTTATATATGGATTGTTTTTAATCAAACAGCATGTCCATGCACAAGCATATTTTAAATAATTTTTTTAAAGATTCTTCTTGCTGACTAATTTGTTAAAAAAAAATATGGAAAGGTTTCCAGTGGTTTGAGGTAGCATAAATTATCGACTTTGACTCAATATTTCTGGTGATTTCCAAGAAAAATCTTCAACAATAAAAAGTCAAAAGTTTCACAAGCAAATCATATAATGCTAAATTAAAAACATGCCGAAAAAAATTTGCATAGAAAGCAACATTCATACAAAGGTTATAATTAATTTTAAAAGAATTAGTAGATGCCAAAAAATGAGATAAAAGGAGTGTAATAAAAAGTATTAGACACATAGTGTGAGTTATTGAGTATCTAGATTGCAAGACATATATATCATACATTAAAAAGTTTAGGAATTGCATAACAATAAAGGAGAGATGGAGATTACATGATAGATATAAGTAAAGTTAGAAGGTAAGGATAAGTTTTGAGAAATGTATTCAACATACCCTTGGATAATATCGATCTAATTCCTATTTGAGTTAAAGTTTGTTTTTTTTTTTTGGTTATTTTGCATGATTTATGTTTGAAATGATATTTATACAACAATTAGCGTGTAATGAGAAAGGAAAAGAATAAAAAAGTTTCTTTATTGTATTATGTCTTAAAATATAAAAACAAAAATTAAATATTGTACATTGACAGTATAAACCAAAGACATTAATGATAATAAAAATAAAAAGAAGAAAGAAAAATATTGTTTTTGGCTGAGAGGCTTGAAGCAATTAAAACAAATAAAAATACATATTGTTTCATCTGTTTTTATATCTGTTTTTGTTTCAGAGACTACTTAATAAAAACAAGAATTAGATTGTGTTTTAGGAAGACCTCATAAGAATAAACTTTTGCGTAAACAGCACATATATAACATGACATGAAAATGTAGTCAAAAATTGTTATAAAGGATGGAATGAAATGAATGTGTAAAAAATCAACCAACGTTTGTTGATGCTATGTAACTTTTCGAAAGATGATATTCAATGATAAATAAAAAAAAAAAATCTAAAGCCATTTCCCATCAGACTATAAGAAATTAACCACCAATAGCAAGGGAAAAAGGAATTTTTTTTTGAAAATAATGAAAAGAAGAAATGCAGCCATAAAAAATGTAAAGTAAAATTTGAATTATTTTTTACATTAAATGAGAGGAAAATGAAATGAAGAATAATGATGTTAAGTGATATGTTTAAAAGACAGCTGCTGTCCATCAGCATGAAAACATATAAGCTTACCTTATCGTAATGAATATTATTCTCATCCAAACGTCCAATTTCGTAGTCCTGTTGGACTTGCTTGCACTCGTTCGTGCGACATTGTTGCAATGCATTCAACAGCTCACGTTTAACCCCACGAAGTCCTTAGTAATTTGAAAGAAAATATAAAAAAACGTGTGTGAACATTGTTGCATAAAATAAATGTCTATCTTTATAAAGTTTACCGTCATTCAATTGCGATGCTTTCTGTTGCATATCCTTCGATACTCTGTTCATTTCGAGCAAATCACTTTGTATTTGTGGTAATGACTCGACAATGTCGTGTAGTGTATCAAGCGAAACAGCATTAGATGCCTTATCTAATTTTGCAACAACTGTCTCGGATGTCTTATCAAGAGTATGAAACAGGTGCTCCTTTAATTCGCCATAATTTGTCACAAGAAGATGATTGACTTGATATGATGTCGACTTGAGATAAGTTCGTGTATCGTCAACAGCATAACGTGCTGATATCGTGGCATTTTCGACACCATGCTGGAGTGTTATGTTAGTAACAAACGCCACAATAACACCAAAGCTACAATAAATTAAAAAAAAAATCAATGTTTGTAGGCACTAAATATTAATTAGGAAATTTATTGCTTACATCATGGATGAGACGACACAAAGGAGAATAAAACCGAGCAAAAATCTTCTACACGTGTCGTGTTTCTTATCAAATGGTTGAGATCTACCGCCACATGCTCCAGCACATCGACAGCAACAGAAGCATAGACCAATTAATGGCATCAATAGAGCAGTTATTATTGTCACAATAGCAATAATAATAATGATCCAATATTTCTTAAGTATTTCATAGTATTGATGTCGTTGAACATTCGGTCCTAAGCTTACTTTCATTTCATCAATTTCGATAAAGCCTAGAGACAGAAATAAAATTACCGAAAAATTTCATTATTTTTCAGTTGATTAAGTCATAAAAAATGTTAATCGGAATTTAATTATGTTCATGGTACAAATAAACAATAATGATGATAATTCAATTGCAAAATTAATTTTATGTTAAATTGTTTTACAAAAGTGCTAGTAATACATGATGTTATTCTGTTTTACAATGAGCACCAAAAAATCTGTCAGATCATGTATCCACATATAACCTTGCAAATTATTGATTTTCTATTGCATAGAGAATTGAGTACAAAAGTACACATAGTCGGAGGCAATCAGTAGCAGTAGCACAAAAAATTAATTATTTTTCAATGTTCAGATTGCTTCAGCAGAATGAGTTTAAACAAGTTCTATCATGATGAAATAGAAAGAGGGAAATAATTTATTGTGCTTTCAAAAAAGAATTCTTCGAAGCGAAATCATTATTAACATTATTGGAAAATTCAGAAGAAAACTTAATATAGATTCTTAAAGCGCATTTAACTGTAAATATTGTGAATTGAATAATCATTTTAGCTTTTAAGTAATCTTTATAAAGCGATAAAAATGTTATAGACACAAGCCACATGCAAATTTAATTCCAGATAAATGTGTAATACATTTTTGCAATAAATGGCTGTGAGATTTCATGAGTATATTCAAGAGATTAGCTAATTGGATTAAAAAAATTAATTCATAGCATCAAAGAATGACAATTATGGCGCAATTTCAAGTTTTTCTAAATGTTTAAACGAGTTATTTAGGTTATCAGCCTTCAAATCTCTTAATGTAGACATTATGCTGAAAAATAATGATTTCTTCAAAAAAGAATTGTGCGAAAAAAAACTTTTACTGGGCTATGAAGCAGAGCAAAATAATAAGGATATATCCGTTAAATTCCAAATGCTAATGAAAAGCACAAAAACGCTTGAACATCAATTCTACTTATTTTTTCCCCTTTTTGCTAAAACTCATGGTGAAATTTGAATTTATGAAAAACAATATCATATCCAGACACAATTGTGTCAATATTTAAAAGATAAACTTCATATTTTTATGATGATTCAAAATTTATAATATTAATTATACAAACAAAATGCGTCATATAGTGATAATATTTTTGGTTCACAGGGTATTTTCATAACTGTTTATAGCACTAGAACATGAAAAGTGAATTTCATCAATGAGACTTGTTCGTATTAAAAGTAGGAAAATTGAATAATTTGAGTCGTTTTCCTGAAACTTAATTTGCATCTAATTCATAAATATAACGAAAAAAGTGGATCTTAATGGATATTATTATGGTTCATTCCACTTCAAGTGGGCTAGTCACAATCAAAAATATTCAAATGATTCTCATTTTATCGTGTTCTTTTGTTTTTATGGCTAACTAGAAGCCAAATTGTAACTTTTTGCAATTCTGTAAATTACTTTGAACAAAATGTTTAAGTTTTTGTCGCAAGAGGACTTGTCATTAAAAGCCTTCGACAGTGAAGTACAATAAACTTTTGTGTTAAAAATAACAAAGTTTCATGACTGATAATGAAATAGACTTAGTCAAAATAGACTCATTTACAATGAGCTGAAAATTATTCACGTTTTGCATGCTCATCATAATAAATCCTTACTTATCGTTTGCACGATAAAATGAAATAAAAAAATTGACATTCGTATAAAATATTTTTTTGAATCCATAAAATATGCGATTTGGCAATTTTTGTTTTATAGCGTTTGTCTCGTAATCTGATAAGTTTCGTTTTTCAGTAGATGGAGGTAGATATCGCAAATCATGCCACATAAAAATCTCATCTTTTATTTTCAGAAAGTTCAGTGGCTTTTGGGTACCAATCTCTTCCATCGAACAATGGCAAAAGTATTAAGATGAAACAAATTTGTTCCTTTAAGACACGTATTGAAAATAATTCTTATTCGCTGTTCTTCTCCTTTTACGTTCATTTCCATTTTTATTATTAAACTTTTATTTTAAAATTCTCTCAATACAATGCTTGATTAACATCAATCATATGAGCATCATGATAATTTCTTTTCTTTCATATTATGATTACTTCTTTCTTATCCCTTTAAGCATGTTTATTAACGGTGATGTTTCTTTGAATTTTTTTTATTGCTTTACAATCATAAAACTGCCCAAACATTGATTCAGCCTTTCTTTTTTCATTTTGATCTTCACATTCGCTTTATTTTCCTAATTTTTCATGATCATTTAAAATTAAAATCAAATCAATCATGAAAGTTTTGAAGGTTTTACTCTCAGATTTCTCGTCCATTGACCCTATCAAAATATGTTGGAAGTACATTTTACGAGCATATAAAATAGCTCTTATCTTGTCTCGGTCTCCAGTCTCAACTTAATTTCACTTAAAGACCTTTCCTTAATGACTCATTTTCTATTCATTTAAAATTTAATAAGTTATTCTATTAGTGTTGTAAGTCTATTGAAAACTTTTTTAAAGAGTCTATACTAACTTTGAGTTATGAAAAGGATATTAGATTATCTGAACTATGAACAAAGAAGAAAAGTTGATATTTTTAAACCACACATATTACTGTTGAGTTCATAAACGTTCAAGGAGGGTCAAATACAAAACTTAAAGCAGGTATGTAACCTATTCATAAAAATATTAGTAATGTATTGTACAAAGTTATTATTTAACAAATTTCAACAGACATGTGAACGTTGAAGTCACAAATAAGTAATATGAAGCTATTAATGCAAAATGTCAAGATTGCATCTTATGATCTAAAAATTGAAATGAAATGAGTGAGAAGCATATCTTGTATGATGATGATGATGATGGAAAATAATTAAAGTAGTATTGCTCATGAATAAATATCAACCCACCCTCACACATTTCAAACTAATAAATTTATGAATTTTACAGCATAGTAATGGAGAAATATAAAAACATTTTCAAGATGGGCGTAAATGGATTCCTTTTAAATTACTGAATAATTCCTCGACAAAGTTCTTTTGTTCGTCGAATAAAAAAAATTGTTTTTTAAATCAGAATCTTCTTTTTTGTACCTTTTTGAAAAAGTTTTTAATGCTCATATTAAGAGAAAATTTTATTAATTGAAAGAACAATAGATCGTCATAGAGAATAAAGCATAAAAGCATAAAAAGACAAGAGAAGCAATCACACTACGAGTAATGTAGTAGAACCGAGAACAATTGAATATGATGATGGCATGTGTGTAAAGCGTCTTTGTCTCGACCATCATATGTGGTTTTTATTTCTATGTGTGCTGCTCATCACAAACTTTACAGTTATTGCAGTAAAGAAGAGCGAGAGGTTTTTAGTACATTATGATGTGAATTGAATATTCATGTTTGTTTTTTTTTATTTCTCATAGCCCCTTTTTAAGCGCACTTAGTTGTGGATAATTCCTAGTTAAAGAGCTGAATCATTGTATTTTAAAGTATTATTATTTTATACTGAAAATATTTATTGATTTTTAATTGTAAAAAAATCACTAGAAAGCCCAATTAATTAAAAAATATATTTCAATTAATCAGCATCAATTAATTAAATCAATTCAGATAAATTCAATAGAAAATTGCTGTTATGATTAATAGAAATTAGTAATAAAGGAAACGAATGTATGTGTGAAAGCTATTAACTGTATATACACATTGACACGACAAGATGATAATAATTTTTTTAATGATGGCATGTCGCTCTTTGATGTGGGCATATTAATTAACATTTCTTCTTCCCTTTTCTTTTTTTGGCTTTGTCATCATCATTCGTAACCATTCACGTTTCATGACATTATATGTGGATACACATGCTGCGTGAAATCATTCAGAATTCACATTATTTATCAAGTATCAATTTATTTTTACTTTCATATTCATTAATTCACCATAAATGTGGGTGGAATGAAAAATTAAAATTGAAAAAAAAAGACAGAAAAAAATCTCACCTGCTGGAATAGGTTCATCTTTGTCGATAAATAAATCAATAATTGTATTTGTGAGATTATACAGTTGCACCATGCCTAATGCATTATATCCCGTTGAGCTCAAATATGTCATATTATGGGGCCATAATGAATATTTTGTGTTTTCAATCTCCAATATTCTCTGCTGTTGTTGGTGTTGTTCTTGACGCTGTTCTTGTTGTTGCACGCCAAAATGATGATCTCGATTTGGTACGTTAGCAACATTAAACTGAGGTTTTTGGTAAACTGGTGTACGTCGATTATACTGTTGATTGCTAGCTATCTGATCTTGTAAGGAATAAGTCTGTGGCTTAACTTGCTTATGAAGTCTCTCAAACTCCTTATGAAACTCATATTGATCATTTGCTAAGCTATCAAATGCATTCACATCACCTACATTTATTATCACGATAATTGCCAAAATGGCTATTAAACCTAATTTTTTGCATTCATATCGATTGGTCGTGTGCTTATATTCTCTTTGTTGTTGACATTGTTGATGATGGGGGTATTTATGGTGCTTTTGTTGCTGTTGTTGGAGAGATGGCACACCCATTGTATTTTAAGAATCAAATTAATGGGATTGTGTGCTCGATAGAGCACAATGAGCAATTTAAAAAATGAAAGTATTTAAAATCCTCTGCTGTTGCTGTGCCTGATCCTGATACTTCTACTGCTATCAACTTTCAGTTATCTGTAAACAAGAAAATAAAACAAGAAGTAAATAAATATCAAAATCATTCTACTAATGCTATTTAATACGGCATTCTACAGTATAAGAAAATTTACTGCTACGACGAGAAATATGATTCATCGCCCACTCAAAAAATGATAACGAGACTTGATTTACTTTCTAAGAATATAAGAGCATATGATTATGAATCATAAATGAATTGAAAAGAATATAAAGATTATTCGAGTGTAAATTATAGAATATGATTTTCATATTTTAATAAGTGGAATGATCGAAGCCACTTAAAGCAATTATTCCTTCCCCATTTCGAGATTTAAATTAAGAGCTGTTGAATTGAAGTCACACATAATAGAGTATGCAATTAAGGCATTAAATGAATTTGCAAAGTGCAATTAAAACAATAAAGTTACTTCAAGCGAAATAATGCTTAAATTTAGTCCGTCAAATTCAGCCAATTAAGCAACCGTTAAATTAGGTATTTAATAAAAATAAAATTAGCTTTTAGTCACGAATTGTTTGGAAAAACTAGACAAAGAATGTGACATGAAGATTTTTTAAATTAAAACATACGAAAACAATGAATGAATGGCACTTTAAGTGTTTGTAATGAGATGAGAGCTGAGATGAATGAAAATCTTATTGTTAACTGTTCTCCTTTAAATTCAATGAATTTTCACAAAAGTTGTTAACATGAACGTCAATGTAATCACCATATGAATGATTTTTTTTTCGCATAAAAGAAGAAATATGAAAATTAGAAATGAATGAACAGTAAACAATCATCAAAGTATGACACATTAATTTTCATTGTCAACGCTTTCAGCGAGAGGCGGAAAAATAATAAATTTTAAGACTTTCGTCATGTCTATAAAGATATAATTGAGTGAAATTTAATTTTTTGTTTCATTTTCTGCATATTTCCAGGAATTAGCAACTTTTGATTTTATTTTTGTATAGAAATGAGGTTGTGATATTTTTTTCGGCATCACAACTTTTTATTTTATGACTCACGAAAAACTGTATACGGTTAATTTATTCGGTTTATACAATATCGACATTAAAAGTAACAGCTGCTACTTTAATAGCCAAACAATCTCAAGTGGTCGTTCAACTACTTAAGACTTTTATTTTTCATTTTAATATTCATCAGATTTAAAGCATGTAGGTATCATTTCGCTAGAATAACTTCACTGCTAATGAAAATTCATAAACTAACGCTCATGAGCCATTATATGAAATGTTTTCTACATGTAAGAACATATAAACTGTAAAGAGCGTAGATCTGCGAAATGATAAGGTCTTTGAATAATAAAAATGAATTGCTTATTGCGACTGTTTGCTGACTTAAGAAGAATACTTAAAAAGTAGAGTTATAACATTACATTTCACCTTCATAACGAGTTAAATATAGCTCTCTATTTACTATGTACATTTATTCTCTGTCGGTCGAACGGTGAACATAAGTAAAGCGGTAAAAACGCAACATTTAAAATTTAGATTTTTCCTTCATACTACATCCTGATACATTTTCAAGCATGAAAAGTATTTTCTTCCCAAACATCAATGAAAAAATAATGCTCACTTACGAAACTTTTGTGATTTTGAATCAGAAAATAAAAACAGATGTTTTCACAAATCATATCAATTAAGGCTTAATACGAATCTTATGTAATAATCTTACAGAACTGAACTAAATAAATATGTATAAATAAATGAATATAAATATGAGAAAAGAACGAACAAATGGGCCATTAAAAACACATAAAGATTATTTCACTCATTTTTCGTTAAAACTCTCCTTTCATTGAGTTCTCGAGACTTGAAGAAAAATAAACAGAAATTTTTACACATTTCTATGACGTGAGATAAACTTTGACTGCACTACTTGTGTTCCTTGAAGGTTTTGAAATATTACATTGAAAAGTCTTCTGAAGATTTCACAACAATATCGTCTTTTAATTTTCATTATTGAATGATACACATAAAAATCAAATTACTCGTTAATTAAGCATTTTTTAAGTGCGAGGTGGTTATTTATAAATTTTCATGGTCATCATAAAAAAATATTAAAGTCATAAGCCACATTAGACTTAATGATTGACTCAGCCAATTGTATTGTATAATTTGGTATTGAAAAAAAATCTCATTCATACAGAAAATTTGCTAGGAGAATCAAAATCAAGTAATTATGAAGTGTTTAAATCAAGTTTCGTACAGAAGTTCCAGGCAGTTTATTTTGATTCGAACGGATGTCATTATATTTTCTCTCGGCATTCATGTCAATAAATAACATATATAAAGAGAGAGAGAGAGAGAGAGAATAATAAATAAACAGAGGTAATGCGAATGATAAAAATACTGCCATCTATGTACATTATTTATCATTAATCAAGTGTTTTACTATTTAGAACTCTGCAATTTATCTTAAAGACATTTATGCATGAAGATCAAAAAGTGTTCTTTTACATGATTCTAGACATCAACTTTAATTGTTTAATACACAAATTCAAGAAAAAAACGAAGAAAAAGACATGACTATCCAGACTACAAAGGAAATCGCAATGTTTACAGTTTTAAAGTTCAATGATTTTACCCTTCAATTTTTTTTACATATATATTCTTATTATTATTAGCATTATTTTGTGCACATTCATTCATACACTGACTCTTATAGATTTTAAATTAATATTTTTCTTCTTTTCTAGACATTTTACTTCCTGCATCAATACAATAAATATTTGATATTGAATAAATTTTGTTTCTTTCTTACACGTCAGAACGGTAGGAAGCGTCTGTATTTAAGCATAACATAAAAAATGTCTTTCAACACTTTCACAAATACGAACCTAATTTTCATTTTTATATAGTTAGTATTCTTGCTAGGAATGAATGAATGAATGAATTATAATTATGTCGGAAAAAAAATTCGTTTATATAGAAGGTGTAGAAAATTAATGTTCCCTGTCAATGTCTGTTGTAAATCACGTAAAAGTTCAATAGAAACTTATTATTTGAGTTTTGTAAATTAGCAATTGCAAACAGCTATTTCGATATGCAGAAGTAAACACTTTATAAGAGCGCGTGCAATTTTCTGGGCGCCCACGTTTTACAAAAAACACAACATCAAGCTGAATTTTTTAATAAAATTGACTTAAACTTGACTTAAAATAGACTTCTCTTTTTCGCTTTGGCAAAGAAATAAACTGCTGTGAAGAATGGGTGAGTAAATTTAGGTCATGTACATACATGCTAATTTTTTTCCTTCTTACTGCATACCTAGCAAGTTCAATCTTAATTTAGAATTTTACAAGAATTATGATTTCCTTTTGCACAATTCTTTGTTTCCGTTTCTTGTATTATTCTAATTTATGCAATGCGCAAATCTTATTTCAAAAAGTATTGCTGCCTTTGTTCCCACACTCGTATTGAAGATTTTAAGTACTTTTTATATTGAAACACAATTCTGTATCTGCATTGAAATTGAAACAGTTCCACTATAATTACCTACTACAAAAGTTTCTGGTTAATTAAAAGAAAATTAAAATAGTTCGATTTAATTGTTACTGAATTTTGTATGCCTTGAATTCCATAAGCATATTAAATCAAACAAAAGAACTATAGAAAATTTAATGACAAATCCATGTGCGCTCTAAACATTTATGTTGAAATTTCTAAGAAAAGTTAATAGTTACGAAAATATTGATGTATGAACAGTAGGTTAAGACATATATACACTAATATATATAAATATATGTACACATTTCAATTAAAATCTACTAAGCATGATGTAACAAAATTCAATTGATTTTCATGCCTTTTTGTCAAACGAGAAGCATACAATGTGAAATGAATTAAAATTATTTTCATGGAATAAAAGGTATAAGCAACAGACAATACATGAGACATACATAGATATTCATATACTTAATGTACATTTAGATAGATAAAAAGAAGTAACAAGACATTATAATGTTAACAGCTTATAATAATAGCAAAAAGTCTTTAATGTGAATCTATGGCTCACAATATTTTTTTTTTTATTGTTGCTGACTATGGAAAAATGAAGCAAAAAGAATTACCGAAAAAAATCACTGAATCGCATCAAACAAGTGAAGTGATATATATTTTTGCATATATTCGAGATAAAACAATGAGAAAAAATTAATTGAATGGTGTGCCTTGTTGTGTGTGTGTGTGAGCGTCATTGTATTTTTATTTTATTGTGACAGCAAATTTGAAAAAAAGAGAATTTATTCTCAACATATAAATAAAGAATAAAGTAGTCTACATTCGCTCGAATCTGTTCAACCTGTTCCGGATAAGTTCACCTGTTTCTCTTTTGTTGTTATTGTTTTTACTGCTTTTGCAGTAGACAATATTTTTTGACATAACAAATTTATCGCATTTCCATGGTTCTCAATAACAGAACCTATAGCTATTCGGATGCAACCAGAAAATAAATTTTAATTAAATTTTATACATAAATGGGGAGAAGAGGAGAAAAAATGAAGTCAAATAAAACATGACCTATGTCTGCAAAAAAAAGAATCATTCAATTTCATCTCTAGAGGATGCTCTTCACTTGTATTTATCATCCTTCTTTTGCTGAATGAATGGATTTAGTTGGATTTTCTCAAACTCAATGTATGCATTGCATTCACATCAGAAAATTTAAATCGACAGAATGAAGGAGATGGAAAGAGATCTTTACACAATTTTCAAGCAATTCATTATTCAAAGTTAAAATTGCAATTGTGTACTGTTGCGAAAGAATAAACCTTAGATGAAGGTTTTGAACTACATTCTACCTACATAAATTTGTTCATGCTCTTCAATCATATACATATATTTTTGTTGTTACT